GAGAATGAACAGCAAGACAAAAAGGGCAAGGGAGTGTCATTAAGAGCCTTGAAATCAGTCAAAGGCAAAGAAGTGCATAAAGAATCAAGCTCCGGAGATTCTAAAACAAAGAACTTCAACTTGTTGGTGAAGAAGTTCAGAAAATTCCTAAGAAAGAAGAGGAATTCCCCCAACAAGTTCAACAAAAAGGCAAATAAGAAAGAGGAAGCAAGTACATCCTCCTATAATTGTTTTGAGTGTGGGAAACCAGGACACATAAAAGCTGAATGTCCAAACCTCTTAAAGAAGCAACAAGAGGAAGAGAAAGTGAAGAAAAATGGCAAAGGAAAAAGAGCCTACATTGCTTGGGAAGACAATGACTCAAGCACAACAAGTGATGAATCTAAATTTGAAGAGAACAATTTATGTTTGATGGCTGGAGCTGATCAAGACATAATAGTAAGTGATTCTGACCTTGAATCTAATCCGGATTATGATCAACTTCAAGAAGCTTTCATTCAAATTCACAAAGAGGCTGTGAAATTAGATGCTTTAAATTCAAAGCTTAAAAACAAGCTGTCATGGTATGAAAATGCTTTAATTAAAGCTGAAGCTGAACAAGAGCTTGAGGATTTGAAAAATGAGCATGACAATCTTCAAAACTATTTTGAACTTCAATGAAGCTCATTGTGAAACCTCCCCTTCTTCAAAAGGTGTTTGTGAAAATTGCAAGACTCTTGGAAAAGGAAAATGTTGATTTAAAAATTACTCTTGCAAAGTTCACACATGGAAATGCAAATTTGAATATCATTTTGGGAAAACAAAGAAATATTTTTGATACAAGTAGACTTGGTTTTAATCAAAGCATGAACATACCATTAAAATCAAAGGAAGGAATTTTTAAGAAAAACCAAGTTTTCAGAAAATACAAAGGAAATTTCATTAGACAAACAACATGGTATTATTGTTGTAAGAAAGGTCATACAATAAGGAATTGCTACTCTAGAAAGTATGGAGTTCCAAATGGAGAAATGGTTTGGATTAAAAAGAGCCAAAGGCTGAGAACTAACCATCAAGGACCCTTCATATGGGTACCTAAATCAATTTTCTGATCTTTGTTGTAGGAATGCTTGAGAGCCAAAAGCTTATTATGGTAACTTGATAGTGGCTGCTCAAGGCATATGACTGGAGATCCTTCAAAATTCTCAAGTCTGAAATTAAAGAATGAATGGTTTGTTACTTATGGTGACAACAACAAAGGGAAGATTCTTGGTCATGGAAACATTGGTAACTCCTCCTTCTTAACATTGATTCAGAATGTATTGCTTGTTGAAGGGCTAAAACATAACTTGCTTAGTATAAGCCAACTAAGTGATAAAGGTTTTAAAATTGATTTTGATAACACTTGTTGCTTGATCTGTGATAAAAAGACAAAAGAAATTAGATTCATTGGAAAAAGAATTGACAACATATACATGTCAGATTTAGAGCACTCAATAGAAATTTCCAACACCAAGTGCTTAATAACCAAAGAAGACAATATTTGGCTTTGGCATAGAAGAGCTGCACATATTCACATGGATCACTTAAACAAACTTATTAGAAACGAGTTAGTGATAGGATTACCTAAACTCAAGTTTAGTAAGGACAAACTATGTGATGCTTGTCAAAAGGGAAAGCAAGTGAAGGCTAGCTTTAAAAAAAAAATAAGATTTCAACTACTAGACCTTTACAATTAATTCACATGGATTTGTTTGGTCCTTCAAGAACACAAACATCACCTCAATTAGGAGTGACCATGGAGGTGAATTCCAAAATATTTTGTTCCAAAAATTCTGTGAGGAGCATGGTATTAATCATAATTTTTCAGCACCTAGGACACCTCAACAAAATGGGGTTGTTGAAAGGAAAAATAGGTCTCTTGAGGAATTGGCAAGGACTATGCTGAATGAGACTAAACTACCAAAATATTTTTGGGATGATGCTATTAACACAACTTGTCATATGTTAAACAAGGTTCTGATTCAACCCATTCTAAAGAAAACACCCTATGATATTTATAATGGGAGGAAGCCTAATATTTCATACTTTAGAGTATTTGGGTGTAAGTGTTTTGTGCTAGACAATGGCAAAGAGCAACTTGGAAAATTTGATGCAAAAGCTGATGAGGCAATCTTTTTAGGATATTCTACAAATAGCAAAGCCTATAGAGTATATAACAAGAGAACTCTAATTGTTGAAGAATCAGTTCATGTTGTGTTTGATGAGACTAACAAACAAGAGACAAAGCAAACTGAAATAGAAGACTTGACTGATTTGCTTGATCAACCTCCATTATAAAGTGAACCTAATGAAAAGCCTAAAGAGAGTGAATCAAATGAAACCACTGAGAATACAAGTGAAAAATTGCCTAAGGAATGGAACACTTCTAGGGACTTATCAATGGAAAACATAATTGGAAATATTGGTAAAGGAGTTTCAACTAGAAGATCCGTCAAGAATATTTTTAATGCTATGGCTTTTGTTTCACAAGTTAAACCTAAGACTATAGATGAAGCACTAATGAACATTGGTTAATGGCTATGTAAAAGGAACTAAATCAGTTTGAAAGAAATGAAGTATGGGATTTAGTGCCATTACCAACTGATTATCCAATTATAGGAACCAAGTGGGTTTTTAGAAATAAGCTTGATGAATATGGAATTATTATAAGAAATAAGGTAAGGTTAGTGGCTAAGGGGTATAATCAAGAAGAGGGAATTGATTATGA